AGAGAGAGAGAGAGAGAGAGAGAGAGAGAGAGAGAGAGATTGCCTGCCAGGTAGTGTCAAGTCAAGGGAGATCAGGGCCTGTTGTAGGCCTGCTGAGGCATCAATGATTACAAGGAGGTGCACTTAGACTCAAAGAGAGGGAGGGACTGAAGATTCTATTGACCTTGGTGGAAGGAACGGAGAGGTTTGGGGGATGGGAACAAATGTCTTGTGTACAGTTTAGCAAAACTGCTTCTGTTAGCTTGTGGCTTTGCTTCCCATGGTCCTGTAGTATAAGAAGGCGTCGAGAAATACATTTGCTACTGACTAGTATTTACCAGTGGCCCTCCCATACCTGCCTCTTGCTTCTTCCTATCTCCCCCCCCCCCGCCGCCCCCAAACCCGGTCAGAGGACTTTGCACTGGCAGGACCAGGGCTGTGTGGTATCTCGAACAGAGAGAGCAGCTCTGAGAGTGGAGGGGATCAAGTGGGAAAAAGTGAGCACTCGGAAGAAGGTAAAAGTGCGGTGAGAATTTCCTCGGAGTAATAATAGACTTAGGAAAATACAGATAACCAGAAAAAATAAGGGAGATCTTAAAAAGTAAAAGTCAAGAAAACAAATGGGGAACGGACATGGACATATGCTTTTTGTAGAAACGCTTTCTATATAATATGCTTGGTTAAAGTAGAGCAACGGCAATTACATAATTTTTTTTTTAGATCTTGTAGAGAAGGTTTGTCCTTGGTTTCCCGAGGAAGGTACAATAAAGTTAGCAGCCTGGAAGAAGGGTGAGGAAAGATTTCAAATTATTATCATGTGCATGGACCAGGTAAAGTGCCTGTAGGTACCTTCAGTCTCTGAACCTTGATTAGAGCTAGAAGTGGATTGTGGAGAGGCAGACCCGGTCTGAAAGAGTTGGAAACAGAAAGTAAGCTTGTTCCGGAGCTGCTCTGGAGGCTCGCAGCGGGCGGGCAGGCGGCTGGTCTCCGGTCTCCCGCAGGCCCCACTCCCGGCTCGCCCTCCGCCCGGGTGTCCACAGACCCCTGGGGCAGGGGTGGAGATGGCGCCAGCGGCAGGACGAGGGGAGAGAAAAGGCTCGGGCGACTGAACCAGCGGAGAGAAGTGGCACAGGAGAGGGTGCCGGACCCCGCGGTCCTAGCGGCCTGCTGGAGAGCTCTCGCCCCTCCCTTCTCCCGCAGCTCCCTCCCTCCTCCTGAGGCAGCAGGCCCCCTCCAGGCTGACTGCTCTGGCCCAGACAGGCAGTTAGGATTCCTGATTTTCACACATCCGGCCTCAAATTTACATTATCTAAACTAACATATAACATACAAGTCACGGATTATGCACATTGAAACATGTCTATAAAAATGTGTGTTTTATTCAAGTGTCTTCGGAAGATAACCCGTCCTTAATAGCTACGTACATATTCATACATGCATGTGTATATATAAATTATCCACATTAAAAATAAATGATACGTTAAATATAAATTATACAGGATAAAAACAGATTATATACGGTAAATATAAATTACATACACTGGATATGATTTATGTACGTTAGTGTATACATTATATACAATGAATAAATATTAATACATTAAATATTAATGATATACTTTAAATGAATATTATGTATTTTAAATGAAAATTAGATATGTTAAAATATGATTATATGCCGGGCAGTGGTGGTGCATGCCTTTAATCCCAGCACTTGGGAGGCAGAGGCAGGCGGATTTCTGAGTTCGAGGCCAGCCTGGTCTACAGAGTGAGTTCCAGGACAACACAGAGAAACTCTGTCTCAAAACAAACAAACAAACAAAAAAGATTATATCTATAAAATATGAGTTATAATCTATATAAAATACATAATTTCATATGTCCTCAAGGACAGAGAATTATGAAACAAGCCCATGGAGCTCTAAAAAAATCAGCCGTATAAAGTAAAAAGGAGGGAATTGTATACTTCTTCAATTTTATTTTGAATTTTTAATCTTAGATGCCAAGGAGTTACCTGCTGCTGAGTGTCTATGGCATCCTACAACTAGATATACTTATACCCAAATGAAATGGAAGGACTCGCTTACTGGCATATGGCATGGTACTGATCTGGTATTGATATGGGAAAGATTGCATGCTTGTGTTTTTCCACAGGATACCGAAAGAGCCCAGCCAGCTCAGTCAATAGGCCAGGAGATTCTTAATCCCAGAGTGCTGGGTTCAAGCCCCATGTTGAGTATAGCAGAACTTGGTTTTATGATCCTTTTTTAAAAGCATGTCTATTACCTGCTCTTTTGAGAGGAATCATCAGAGCTTTTTATAGATGTCAGATCAGAGTTACATAAATTCAAGCACCAATGTCTTCCCTAGAGAAGTTTGAAAATACACATTATAAATGTTTGAGGGTCTAGGAAGATGTTTGAAGGTATATAAATGCTAGTTATAGAATGTAAGGAATTAAAGAAAAGGGGAGAGAAATGGGCAGTGTTTTTATGTTCTCCCCACATGCTATTGCTATTTCAAAGTTCAGAATTTTAACGTTGATCAATGGAGTTCTGCTAAGTTAATAAAACATTGGCAGTTTACAATTCAGTCACAAGCTGATTTTACACAGTCACAATTTTAATTTCTCTTTGGTTGTTTTCTGAATATAAATTTAAAGATGCTTCTCATCATGCTAAAAAGATCTATGTTCAATCTGCATATCTATAGCTATAAACTTATAGCTTTTATAACAGGCACCTGTTAACTAAATTTCTAAAACATGGATTCAAGGCAATGGTAAATACTAATGTATATTCTTTTGTAAATTAAAGTTCACATAAACTTTATGGAATCAAGAGTCCTAAGACTTGGACTCACTTGTCACTGATTAAATGGAGTACATACAGATAAGTACATATACCTGTTCTTGAAAATGGGAGTTTCCCGTGGTCTTGGGATTTCTTATCTTTCACAATTGCTAGGAAATTTTAATTCCTGTTCCTAGACTATATTTGTCTCAGCAGATTTTCACCTGGCTGACAGAATCCATCCAGGGATCAACTGTGGAGCTGTTCAGCTCTGGACTTACTGAAAGCTGGTGTTGACCAGTTCAGCCAATGTGCTTGTTCCCTGTCTTCATCTGGATCAGCTAATCAGCTAATTGGTCCTGACCAATGCCTCACTGCCCAGCCTTTGACTAGCATTTCAGCCTTCCTGAGACATTTTGTAGCATCCTAATGTCAGCAGGAAGCAGATATCGAAGAGAGATACAGCATCCATTGTCCCATTCTACAGGCTGAAATGCTAGGTCAAAAAGGAATTCTCCCTGGGCATACTCTGAAAACAACCCAATGTCTCTTGTCAGGCTTTGTCACAGCATGTGTATCCTTGCCTCGTGTGTTGATGATTTTGGCAAATGAATATTTCTATGTCTAGAGCTTTGTTTAATGTAACCTGTGTTGATTGTACTGTTAGAAATCGTGTGGGTTCAGATTCAATGTAACTTGCAGTGACTATAATATGACTAATTGTGTATCTGAGATTGTACAAGGAATTTCTGTTGCTGTATTTCATCAACCTTCATTTGTTATGCCTCCAGTTAATGCTTCAGAGCCTTGGTATATAGATAGAGGCTTACAAGTGTTGGATGAAATTCAGAAAACTTTAAGTAGACCTAATGATTTGTATAAAAGATGCTAAACCCCTGCAATTTGATTCTATAAACACTGCCTCTGCATAGTTAGAGCAATTAAGAAAGAGCATACCTTCCTGGTCTCCATTTACTCATTTGGCCTTTTCAATACTTGCCTTGGGTACTCTAATGTTTATAGGATTATGCCTGTTGCTACTGTGATTAAGTGTACCCTCCATTCCTTTTTGAAAATCTGTGCAGATCTCCATCATATACACCTCAAAACAGTAACCTAATAGGTTAATCTCTCATTGCAGAGGCTGGTAGTCAAAAACCAGTAACATTCTCTCAGAAGTGGATCAACCTAAGACAGGGCATGAATGCTAGGATTCATTGTTCTGATGATGGGTAAGATCCATCCTTCCTGGGGGGATACTTAAGACAGGTACAATCTTTCTGGACTAACAATTGAGACAGCTTTGGCTTGTATAAAATAAAAAAAATAAAGAGATTTTAGAATCATTTGCCACTTCTCAGAGGAGAGAGAGAGAAAGAGAGAGAGAGGGAGGGAGAGAGAGAGAGAGAGAGAGAGAGAGAGAGAGAGAGAGAGACTGACTGCTTGTCAGGTAGCATCAAGGCAGGTTAGGGTCTGTTGACAGATTTCCTGGTCTACTGAGGCATGGAATGATAAGAGGAGGTGCATCTGAGGCTCAAGGCTAGGGACTGACCTTGGTGGAAGGAACAGAGAGGTCTGAGGGATGGAAACAAATGTCTTATGCACATTTTAACAAAATTGTTTCTGTTAGCTTGTGGCTTTGCTTTCCATGGTCCTGTAGTATAAGAAGGCTATGAGAAATAAACTTATTACTGGCTGGTATTTATTGGTAGCCCTCCCATACCTGTCTCTTGCATCTTCTATCTTTCCTATAATCATCCTCACTCCCCGCTCAAAGGACTGTTTGACTTCACACTGGCTGGACCATTACACAGCTATCAACAATCTCCTAAGTCAGTGGTTCTCAACTTGTGGGTTGAAATCCCTTTGGGGTATCGATGGACTTTTTCACAGGAATCACCTAGGGTAGTCGGAAAACACAGATACTTACATTACTGCTCACAACAGTAGCAAAATTACAGTTATGACGTAAAATAATTTTATAAAATAATTTTATGGGTGGAAGTCACCACAACACAAGGAACTGTATTAAAAGGTCACAGCATTAGGAAGACTGAAAACCACTGTCCTAGGTGATTCTAGATTTGGTCAAGTTGACAATGAAGACACTTACTAGAAATGAACATAAAAATATAAAGCAGAATAAAATAAACCAGACATAGAGAATACTTATTGACTACATGGTATTGTGGGAAAATAGTGGAGGGTTGGATATGTATTTCAGTGGTAGAACATTTGCCTAACCCTACCACAGTTAAAAAAAAAAAAAGAAAGAAAGAGAGAGAGAGAGAAAGAAAGAAAGAAAGAAAGAAAGAAAGAAAGAAAGAAAATAAATATAAATATGTGGTTATCATTTCTGTACTAAAGCATCATGACCAGAAACAACTTGAGGAGTAAAGGGTTTAAAGGACACACCCATTGATGATGTATACAGTGAGGACATGATCCCTCAAGGTATGGTTGAGGGAAAGGTTTTCATTGTAGATAGGAGGTGGAGTAAAGTCGTTTTCATATCTTCAATAAAACATAAAGAATCCCTCATATCTACAATAAAATATGAGCCAAAGGAAGAGTCCAGAGCAGGGAGAGAAAGGAGTAGACTAAACATGGTCAGAAGACTGAACCAGACCAAGAGAATGCATGGGGAGAGCAAGAGAGGGGAGCCAAGAGAGGAAAACAAAAAGAGAGAGAGCCAAGAGAACCTATGGCCAAAATGGCAGAGTTTATATAGGAAGGAGAATCTGGGGAAAGGGAAACCTGTGAGGTGAGAACCCCAGGATGCCAGAATAGATTCTGTAACTGGGCATTCATGCTGCTAAGAGAGTCCAGGAGGCCAGCATGGACTTTGATATGCTAACAGGCACCAGATTAAGCCATTCATCCCAGTTCTTTGGATCTGAGCAGAAACTCATTCTGGGTGAAAACCTGGAGGCAGGAACTGGTGAAGAGTCCTAGGTGCTGCTTACTGGCTTGCACCTTCTGGCTTGCTTTCTTACGGAACCCTGGCCAGCCTGCCTGCAATGGCTGGGCCTTCCCTCATCAGCCACTGATTAAGAAAATATCCTTCAGAATTACATACAGCATGATTTTGTGGAAATAATTTCTCAACT